CGTAGCCGCCATGTGTTGGAGTTTGTCCCGGTGAACAAGAGGGTCGTTTCCCTAAGCCTTCGGGTCGGGGATAGGTCTCCAACTGTTGTTTGTGCCTATGGGCTGAACGGCAGTGCAGAGTACCCGGCCTTCTTGGAGTCTCTGGGAGTGGGAGGGGTGCTGGAAAGTGCTCTGACTGGGGATTCCATTGTTCTACTGGGGGACTTCAATGCTCACGTGGGCGATGACAGTGACGCCTGGAGGGGTGTGATTGGGAGGAACAGCCTCCCCGATCTGAACCCAAGTGGTGTTCTGTTATTGGACTTCTGTGCTAGTCACAGTTTGTCCATAACGAACAGCATGTTCAAGCATAAGGGTGTCCATCAGTGCACGTGGCACCAGGACACCCTAGGTCAGAGGTCAATGATCGACTTTGTGGTTTCATCTGACCTCCGGCCGTATGTCTTGGACACTCGGGTGAAGAGAGGGGCGGAGCTGGTGACTGGTCACCAGTTGGATCCGATGGCGGGGGAGGAAGCTGGACCGACTCGGCAGACCCAAATGTACTGTGAGGGTCTGTTTGGCAGAACCCCCTGTCCGGGAGATCTTTAACTCCCACCTCTGGCAGAGCTTTGACCAGATCCCGAGGGAGACTGGAGATATTGAGTCTGAATGGACCATTTTCTCCACCTCCATTGCCGATGCGGCCACTTGGAGCTGTGGCCATAAGGTCTCCAACAGGTTCGATTCAGATCGAAGATGCAAAAAGACACGATAGTGTAGGCCCGTTATGACTGTCCCACATTGCTGCTAAGAGTCATGTTTTACATTTGGGTCATGACCGAAAGGGCAAGATCCTGGATTCAGGCGGCCGAAATGAGCTTCCTCCACAGGGTGGCTGGGCGCTCCCTTAGAGATACGGTGAGGAGCTCAGTCACCCGGAAGGAGCTCAAAGTAGAACCGCTGCTCCTCCACATTGAGAGGAGCCAGCTGAGGTGGCTTGGGCATCTGTTTCAGATGCCTCCTGGGCGCCTTTCTAGGGAGGTGTTCCGGGCATGTCCCACCGGGAGGAGGCCCCGGGGAAGACCCAGGACACGCTGGAGGTACTATGTCTCTCGACTGGCCTGGGAACGCCTTGGCATTCCCCCGGGGAGCTGGAGTAAGTGTCTGGAGAGAGGGAAGTCTGGGCATCTTTGCTTAGACTGCAGCCCCCGTGACCTGGTTCCGGATAAGCGGAGGAAAATGGATGGATGAATAGTTGGCTGCAAAAGTATCAGAAGTCTGGCTGTGTTATTTGAAATGTCTGATTGCTAACAGATAGCCAACAGTGCGATGTAAGTTATTGATTGTTGCTGATTACTAATTGTAGTGGTTCTGGGACACTGGAACACACTGTTGAACCTTTTGGGTGTTGTGGGTCCAACTTGGTAGAACAGTGACAGCTGTTGGACATTTGATTGGGCCAGGCTCTCAGATGCCAATTGCTTGGGTGAGGATAGGATTTGGGGATGCTTTTCATTAAGGTCAGAGTGCAGGGACTTTCTTCAAAGTGCATGGTATGATAGGTTAAGGCTGCAGAATAGTGTAAAAAAAACATTCAATGTGCATTCTAGGTTAGGAAAAAACAGGTGTTGCTTATCATGGGGTCCTGAATATTTATGCCTGATATCTCCTCTTTGGGGCCAGATAATAGTTAAACATCATTAACCTGAATACTGAACTTCCATAGGAATGTACATTCGATCTTTGGTACATTTAATTGTGTATTATCAACTGTAAAGTAGAGACTCTGTGAGTAAACAAAGTATAAACAGCTAATACCAAAATCTTTGTCATATTACACTACTGTGATTTGTAGCAAATTTAAAATCACCTTTTGCCAGTGTAATCCTTCATGTCTCTAAAGCAAATGATCACCACTATATACTGACATTGTTTAACTGGCTGGGATGCACACAGAGAGTTACAGAGAGCAGTGTGTCTCTGTGGGAGAGAGAAATTCAATAAGTCCTAGAGTTCATTCGCCAGTGTACCGCGGAGCTCTCTTCTCTATGAAGGCAGCCATACCCTCCTGTCTGTCCCGCGTGGGGATTACCTGAAAGGAGAGAGCAACAATGGGCAATTCTGTGCACTTCCTATACTATTGTATGTGCAGGAACATGTAAGGCTTTGGTAACTTTTAGTAATAAAGTATTAAGTACTAATTCTAACAAGTACTGAGTAAACATTTGAAGTCTTACCCGGGCATAACACATCCTTTCTATAGCCATTGCTGAATTGATGTCAACCTAGAAGAGACCGATCTCAGTCACTGTGATCACTGATTTTTAAAAATTGAAGAAAAAAAACATTATTCATGAGTTAGTTATATACCTCAAAGCCTCTGTTCACTGCCTCTTTTGCCATGCGCACAGCAATAGGAGCCTGGGTAACAGAAACTAAACAGATTAGAGCTGGAGAGTGACTTCATATGGAGGTCCTGTTTAGACCAATATACTGGCATCCTAAAGTGAAATAACATAGGAATTGGCAAACCAAAGCAACCAGCAAACAGCGTTTTTTCTAATGCACACTGTAGTTAGAATCAACAGCAAGAGGAAAATATATTTAATTTAGGGATTTCATTTTAACTGGGACAGACTCCAGGTGAATATCAAGTTTGCCAAGACGGCAACAGAACCACTAAAATCTAACGCAGCATCAGGCAAATGGGTAAATCATACAGCGTGATTTTGTTTGCTGCAGTTTGTTTTCATGGTTCATATAAAGTGTTCGCGCCAACCTGCCAACCTGTACATGGAAGAATTTGAGGACAAAGCCCTGTCTTCTTTCACTGGTACCGCTCCCAGCCACTGGTTCCACTACGTGGATGACACATGGGTTAAAATCAGGACCCAGGAGGTAGAGGCTTTCACCAAGCATATCAACTCTGTGGATATCAACATCAAGTTCACTCGTGAGGATGCCAGAGATGACTGTCTGGCCTTTCTGGATTGTGCAGTCCACTTGGGAGGGGACAGAAGCCTGAAGGTATAAGTATATCGGAAACCTACATACATAGACCAGTACCTACTTTTTGACTCACACCATCCACTTCAACACAAACTGGGAGTCATCAAAACTCTAAATCACAGGGCAGAGGAAGTGCCCACAACTGCAGAAGGGGCCCAGAACGAGAAATTACACATCCAGAAGTCCCTTGGGGCTTGTGGATACCCTAAGTGGGCCTTCACCAAAGCAAGGAAGAGGCCCAACACCAACAGGGAGAAACCAGAAACAAGA